AAAGCTGATACTGATGTGCTCTTGTTGCCGTCTTTATATAGATTGATTCATAGTTGTAAAGTGGTAAGAATGCAGAATTTTATAGACTCATTTTTGATCCTGGACTATTATCATCAGAGTTTTCTTTCTTTAGAATAGTGTTTAGATTTACTTTCGACAACTAGTTTAGACCTAGAATAGGGTTCTTCTAGAGTTCAACTGCCCATTCTTGGTCAATCTTTGATCTCGGGTTGGTCAGTCAGTGAAGAGGTAATTCAACATATTCGTTTTGAATAATTTATCTTGGTGTTAAGTAATAGATATTTCTATAAAGTGTCAGGACTCATAGTCAATACGTTGGGGTATAAACTTGTCATATTATCATGGAATTGTTTTCGGAGGTCTTTTAAGCTGGAAGCTTTCTCACTCTCTATCTCTTCTTCAGCTAGCTAATTAATGATGTTGTAATGACCTCCAATAGTGTGCATTGGTAAGTGGACATAATCATAAAATATATATTTCATCTGTGAATTAGTGTATAAATTGTACTGTGATATAAACGCTTCTCATTGCGAATAATATATAATTAATTACTTTCATATCAAGATGGAGTTACAATCTTTAATACAAGTATAGTTCTGATCATATCGGTTTTCTCTCGATTCTGTGAGAGAAAGAGGCTGTACTGATGTTCTCGTGTGATAGATGCTATGGTCATATATATTATAATGGGAATTGATGTAATATGCTATGACTTACATAAATCGATTTACAACCATATAGGTTTGTTTGATGAAATAATTTCAAAATTTTTTTTGTTATGTCTAAATCTGTTTAGTAGTGTTGATATGATCGAATATTTTGTGGTTTTTCCTAGTTTTATTCGAAATCTGTGTAACGTTGGGTCAACAGTGCTAACCGTGGTATGCATGTGATTTCACATAAATCGCCAAAAAATATTGTGAAATATTCCCAAGGAGGACATAAATATCGTATAATGATTTAGAAGAAGTTTTTCAGAGTCCTTTTACCCTGGACACGCTACTTTTCTGTCAGGATAGTCTTATAGAATAAATGTGTTGAGAGCACAGCTTGTTGAATTGTTATACTCATGAATAAGTTGAAAAATGTGAGAGTATATTACAGGGAAACTACGATAAATCTCAGGACTTCGGAAATGGGTGTTTAAATAATATTTATCTTCATAAGCTGTTTGATATTTATGGTATTCCTAGCAATATCTTTTCTCCGCTGTCTTAGGACTACTTTCAAGGGTTGGCAGTTATTTGTCGTCGGTGTTGTAGTTTCATTAAAATTCGTAAATTCTTATGGATATGGAGAGGCAGTTATTGTTCAATTTTACCTTTGTTTGCACTGTGTTTCGTTAGTCGGTCGTATTAGGGTGTTAGACTCGGTTATTTGTTAGTTGCTAGTAGGTTTAAGATGTTCTCTTATCCTCAATGCATGTGTAGGCGGGTTCCGGGCATATAGGTTTTAGAATCGATACGGGTTATGGTTTTGTTGCGCGCCGGCTACTCAGGTTATAGCATACATATGTCGTTCGTGCTACTGCGATATTTCTACTTATGATTGTGAACTATCAATGGATTTTAATTGTCTATCACGGACATCAAAACAATTCATCATAGGCAGCCAAAGGTGGCGCAGGTATGAGGAGCCAATAAAATTTATAAAAATACTTTAACTGGGAGTTTAGTTCAGAAGTTTAATCAACATCAGAAATCATTTTAAACAAACGTATAATAAGGCTCACATTATTTGCTACTCTGATCCTCTGTACAATGTAATATTTTTATATAATATATATAGATGTGGTTTGACACGTATAAGTATAGCTCATGGGAGGAGGGTATAGCGATCTAAGAAATTTATTCGTTCCTCTTCCTGGTAAAATATACGTTACTCTATGGTAACAGCCCAATGTACTGTTTTTTTTCATACGTTCGATGTTTAATGTTTTCATCAATATTATTTTATTTGGGGTACGAGAGATGCTAAGCAAATTCGCAGTCTTCATGTGATCCTCAATTAGTAGGCATCGTTATACACGTACCTAGAATAATTCACAGTATGTGGTTATGTCAATTACAAATAGATTTCGGGGGTGATGTACTCAGTATCGTGTGAGTGTTAAAGATTAGTAGGATGGTTCTATACCAGCCTGCGTTGGTATATGTTATGTACTACAAACAGTTATTTGGAATCTACATTTCCGTGGATGGTGATGGACTAGTTTCTAATTCAGGTGTATTAATTGTTTTGTAGATTAGTTGAAGGGTAAGGTATCTTGCCTTATTAACGGTTTTGTGTTTTTTTGCACATATAAGACGACTTATTTTAATTGACCGGTAGAAATACGATATATCTATTATGTATTATGCATATCTACTTTTATTTTTTCTGGTTTTGTATAGTATTTATACGTGTAATGTATCTTGTATATGTAAATATTTGTAAGAACTTCGGCCAGATTTTAGCCTACTTAGTTGTAAATAATCGTTAGAGAATGAATGCGTTAACCACCAATTTACTTATTTGAGTTGCTCTCTATAATGCTCGGAGAATTGTAGGAAGTACAAAGTAATATTTCGGGGTTGAGACCTTATCATATCACTACGATAATGACTAATTGTTGATAACGGTTGTAGATACAATGACAGTTAATGAGTAACATTTCTGTTGATGGTGAGTAAAAAGGATGGGCTAGTGTGGTTGCTGGCAGACAATAGCTAGGTCATTGTTACTAGTCTTGGCCTTTCGGTGTATTTTCATCGTAGATGATATGTATGTCGTAATAACTCTTACGTTGATAGTTGTTGTTTTCGTTGAATAAATTGTCTATGCAGACGTTTGTCTCTATAAGAAATGACAGTCATAATAAGATAGAAATTAATTCAAACTCATGAATCCTAACATTCAGAATTTAATTTATTCAATTCAAAATGTAAGTTATGACGCTCTAATATAATATACTGAGTGTAAAATCACCTTCTCTACAAGGGTACTATTCTGTAGTAAAAATCATCTATTTGTAATATATAGTTTGTTGTATGGAGCTACTCCCGAAATTAAATTTGGGAACTTTTTTGACAACTGATAGGATAAAATGATATAACCTAGATATTCTTTCTACGAACATCGAATCCCTGTGCACGTTAAAGTTATCTTAAACGTTTTACAATATCATTCAAGAAATCTTTTATAGTACGAGAAATCGTATACGCAGTGGACTCTTTTTTTTCTCTGTATTTTGTGACTGGATGCATCATTTACTTGGTGGTCGTGAAGTATCTCTGTATGGTTTGAATAGATTTCTATAGTTGTTGTTATCAGAGGTGCGCTCAGCTGTATTGACATGTGTGAGAGCGGCATATCGGAGGATTTGAATGCAGATTTGGGTAGAGAGAGCTCTGTTTGTAGAGGGTGTAAGCGGGCGTGACGAGTTGAGACGGGACCGACTGCAATGACGTGCCAGACTTCTTAGCAGACTTCTCTGATTTTTGGCTTTCTGAGATCATAATGAGATCATCGTAATGTGGGTCGTGTGGCAGTGGATGATTTCTCAGCTGAGCGATGTGTTATTCTTTAGATATTTGGTGATGAATTTGGTATCCACTATTTTTTTCGGGTTATCTTAGCCATATTGTTTAATTCCATACGCGCTTTCGTGGTGCGCATATCTAGTTTTTGTGTCATGGAGAAAGGCTAGGGGGGTCTAGGAGCGTAGTGTGCGAATGTTCTTTTTCTTGGATTTTGTCAATATACTAATTTTTAACTTTATGAGGGTTTGGGATTAAAGTTCTAAATTCAAAAGGTGGGGTTGAGAGGGTTTTCGTATTTATAAGTTCATTTAAAATTTAGTAATGAGTAGATTGTAATATTATTATTGGGGGAATGTGTTATGGTTAATTAAAGTTCGGTTAATATTAAAATTTTAGGTATCTAGTTCGTATACGGGAGTGAATTTGGGGATAAGAGGGGTTAAGTGATTGTGTTGAAGAGTGGGCAGCGTATGTGGGAGGGGTTGGCGTTTTTTGATTAAGAAGAAAGAGGAGATGAAGAGGGGAACGCTAGGTGTGATGGTTTAGTTTAGTAAGAGGAGAGGGGCGTGGGCAGTTGTCGTTTTGCATTTGAGGGTTGTTTTAAGAGAGAGAGTTTGCTAATTTTATGAAATTTTCGTGAGGTGGAAATGATTTTATCTAAGAAGTTTTGTGGACGTGTCAGGTTCTTTGAAGAGGTTTTAAATAAATAACTAATGATCTAATTTGGAGAATGTGTTTATGGATTGATGGAGTTGTATTTAAATTTTTGAGGGTGAAGGAATGATGTTAATGCAACGTTGACTGTATTTTTTTTTTTGAGCTAAAATACGTAAGATATATGTTTTTAAAGATGATTTTTAGCTGTATATATCTTCGTGTGGTGTTTTAAATTAGAAAAACATTTTTTTTTGTTGATAATTTTTAGAGATTGAAAATTTTATCTTATTCTTTATTTTATTTGTGACATGTTTTCTATTTGCTGTGTAGATAAATATATGCCAAAGATTAATATAAAAAAATTAAATTTGAGTGAGGTTTGTGGATATTATTTGCTGTTGTATGACAGATGATAAAAATAGTTATTACTTCTATGAAATTTAAATTAAGAAATAAATATGTATGGGAAAGTCAAAAAGAAATTGCTAAAAGTAGTATTAAAAAGTGTTTGTTGACATAGGGAAAATTCAATAAAGAGTTTAGATTTATTATAAGACATGTTTATATGTTGTTAGTATTCTAGGATATTTTTCGTAAGAAACATGTTGTAATTTTTCATTTTAATGGAATGTTAAAAATGTGGTCTTGCCGGACAGAATTATGACTTGTTTGTTGTTTGACATTTTATCACTCATATTTTGGTATGAAGAACTTATTAAATATTCTTTATCTGGATTTTAGAAGATTTAATATTTATGTAGTCGATATGATACAAATTATAGTGGAGTTATTTATTTTAAGTCGAGACTTTGAAGGTAAATGCATGAGGATTGTACGAGGTTCTGTTAGTAATAGTACTTGACACTCGCTTAAGTTTTGATTTTTTTATTTCAAAGAGGGGAGGAGAAAAGAGAGGATTAGGAGAGGATACGGAGAAGGGTTGAGCGAGGGGTGGTTTTGCCAGTAGTATTATGAGGAGATCGTAAATTGGTAAGTGAATGTAGCTGGGTGCAAGTCGTCGTATTGAGATAATGGAAACGTTGTAGCTGTATTCATTGTATGGATATTTAATAAGTATTAATGATCTTTCTAAAATAGATAGAGATTATTGTATAATTTTCGTGTTGGTGATAGCAGAAATTGTTAGTTGGATAAAATGTGGAGAAAGGGGGAAAGATCATCATTGATTTTCGATATATATTTTTACATTCATTAATGAAGAATGTTAAACATGTTTTGTAGAAGGATATGGTAGGACTTAAAGTACTATGAAATTTTTTCTGTAACTATGTGTAGAATTTTTGATTTTAGAATTGTTGCTTTATGTAACAGAAGTTGTTTTGAGTAGGTTTTTATTGCATGTATTGTTTCTTTTTGACTTGTGCGATATTGTTTTTGTGTTTTTAATTTAACTTGTGCTAGAATTATGTACTTTTTTTTGATTTTTGGTTTCATGGACAATACTTAATTTATTTAAACGATAATTTTATTTTTGTGTTATGATTATATGGGTTTTGTTATGATATTTTAATGCGTCGTATATCAATAAAAGGCAGGGTAATAAAATAAATGTTAAGAATGAATTGTTGAATTTAAATTATCAAAAAAAAAATGTGTTTTTCTGATTAAATATAGAACCGGGAGATATTAGTAATAAATGTGCTTTTAAATCATATATTCTTTGAGTATTTTTGTAAAATTAAATAGTGTGAAGGTTTGTTACCATATTCCTTCTTCAAACAATGTTTTAATAGTTGTAGTGGATGCAGTTAAGAACCTTTCTGAGAATTTAGAGTATTTAGTGTATTTTTAGTTAAACTCGGTTTACGGAAGTGGATTACAACTTTTAGGAGTAGGTAATTTTTGTACGAGAAGTTTGATAATTAGCTATTGTCTTTAAAGAGAAGGCGTAAATGGAATTGGGGAAGATGAGAGTGTTCTTTTTAAACTAAAGCCGATACATCCTAGGTTTTTTTCATTCATTTTGTGGTTTGTTTAATAAGAGGGGACCGTTCGAGATAGCGTTGGGGGGTGTCAAGAGGGAGCTTGAGGCTGTTTAGTGCAAATTGACATCCGGTATATTGGTAACGTAGATATTAAATTGGGTTATATTATCTTCTATACTATGTTAATTTTAACGATAACAATTCTGAATTATTGAATTATGTGGCATTTAATTTTAATTCTTATATAATGAGGAACAAAAAAAAGGATTGTATGATTCTGAGATGTGTGGTCTGGTAATTTAGATTAATCAGGTATTTAAAATAGTTATAATTTTGACTGAATCATGAATATTTAATAGATTTGTCAGGATATTATCTGTGTTTTGTGGTTCATAGCAGAATATATGGATTATGGTATCGAAGTGTATGTAATAAAAATATTGTTGGCAATGGCGGAAATATATTATTTGCATTGTAATGAGATATGCAATACCAATGAAAAATAAACTATTGTAGTGAGAGGTTCGTTTCTCCCTATAGGGGGGATTATACAAGACTCAAGTAGAAAGGTGAGTAATACGAAGGAAAGGTTCAAGAAGGGAGCATTATATGGATATTGGGTTTGAAGGAAACGTTTGATATGATTGAATGTTAACTGTTTGTGTGTGTATGGTATTGTTACGTTGATTGTTATGGATAATTGTGAAGATGTTTTTGTTATCCTATTAATTATTTGTGTTACAGCGAAAGTTTTTATTTGTGGTTTGAGTAGTGTGTATATTTTAGGAAAAATTTTTGGGGTTTGGGCTTTGTGCTGAGGTCATTAGTTAATATAATTACGAAAAAAAATTCTCGAGAGGAATTCAAAAAATGACTGGAGAAGTCATCAGTCTTCATCAATTTAATTTCATGTATAATTATTTTTCAGATTAGAAAGTTTTTTATGTAATCGTAAATAATAATTTTGTGTGTTTACCTTTAGCGTTTGCCTACTAATTTATTAACATTGGTTTTAAGTTTGTAATTTTAATACGTTTGTTATCTAGAAAAAGATTAATATTAGATGTGGAGTAAATAAGACATTTTTTTCATTCGATTTCTTGTTTAGGGAGTGGTGGAGGAAGGGGGGAGAGGGCGGAGTTTTAAAAGGGTGGTTTCAATTAGAATTTGTGTCGATCTTGAGGTGATCTTGTTAGAAAGTAGTTTGTTTTTGTGAATGAGGCGTTGTTGTGTTTAAAGGTAATGAAGCTTTTGGGTCTTTGAGTGTGGTTTGTAAGTTTGTTTGTGTGGTATTGTTGTGAGTTTGTTAAGGGGCTTTGTTTTTGTTGTCTTTTCTTAAATGAAGAGAATAGGAAATGGGAAAGTTTTGTTCATTCGAGAATGTATAGATTTAATTAAAAGGTATCGTACTTAAATGTTATGGAGGTAGCACATAGAAAATAATTTTTATTGAATATGGAGTGTTAATATATGAGTAAAATTAGATTTTAGTAGTGATAGAAGTATTGTTTTTGTTTTTGTTTTTTTTATTTTTTTGTTGCAGTTAGGTTTATATATATTGAGATTCTGGTTTAAAAGTATATATTTTAAAATGAGGAAGATTGCAAAAAGTTTTAATATACGTGTGATAATTTAAATTAAACAAAGTATGTTTATTTACTAAAATGTTTTAGAAGAGTAGTTAGGATATAATTTCAGTTTGATAGGTTTTGAATATATTAAACATTTTTCACTTAAACCTTTTTTAAAGCTGATAATTGAAGGAAAGGAATTAAAGTTATGTTGAATAAAATAATAATAGAGTATGAAAGAAATGTTTGAAGATCTACGGTAATTGTTTTTTAATGATACATATTTTATGCATAATAAGGTGATTTATATTTTACGTTAACAGTTGTGTATAAATTTTGATTGATTTGAGGATTAATGATGTCATGGTATAATTTGAGAATAACCTAAAAAGTTTTGTTTAAGAATTTATTGTGTATAAAACGTATTATTTGGAGAGTGTAAAAGTTCAAACTTAAAATGAAAGCAGTACTAGCGTATTATCGGTTTATGGGATTTGTATGTTTAGAATTTATATTTTAATAGAAGATCATTATTATTTATGAGGGAAAAGAATAATTTCTGTTGTAATGTTAATTGTTTGGTTACGGGTTGTGAAGTCAGTCAGTAGAGGTAAAATAGAAGAATATATTTTTATAAGGAGCAATTTTGAAGCTGTTTGTGAAATGGAGAATCTAGATTTGATCGTGGTGGTATATAGGCGAAATTATTGCGTCATTTTGACGATATATTGCAACCAGTTATTGAATAGTTGAAATAGATTTTGAGCATTCCAATGTCTCAATGTTATGTTTTAGTTTGTGATGTAAGTTGCATGATCTCTGCTTTGTATGCGTACATTTTTTTTGCTTCGGAGCATACAAAATTTATCAATCTTTTTTTGCAAGACGGCGATTCAAAAAGTAGAGTATACGTGTGGAGGTAAGAGGTGGGAAGTGCATTGGAGTGTTAGTGTAAAAGTTAGAGGACGGACATCGACGTTGTGGGCTTTCGCCGGATGTCGGAATAGCGAGAGGTTGAAAATTGAGAATAGTACAGAAACTACGATAAACTCCAAATCGAAAGTATTAAATAATTTATCTTCATAAGTGTTAATAAAGGTATTGCAAAGACTTCCCTGTGTAAAAAGTACAATGTTCTTGGTATTCCATAAATCTAAATTTCATTATGATATCTGATACATATGTAGTAATTGGTGAAGGCGTTAGATCGCTGTTTCCTGAGTTCTGAGGTTTAAATGCCATTCAATGCATGTGGAATATACGGGTTCACGGCAGGTAATCTTCGGCCTTTCCCGCACTCAATACAACATTGCACCTTTGCTCCGGATTATTCATATCATGTGAATATAATCATTATCCATCACCGATCCATCAAAACCATTCATCATAGGCCCAGCCAAAGTGCGCAGGTTTGAGGAGCCCAATAAATTATAAATAATACTTTCACTGAAAGCTTAGTTCAAAAGTTTTAATCAACTTTTTTAAAATATTGAATTTTTTTAAAATATTGATGACATTACAATCGAAGACATGGAGGAAGGAATCCTTAAGAAATCTCATTCCCCGAAAAAAACGTTTCAGAAATCCATTATTTTCAAATAAACATTTAAGTTCAAATCAAATATATTTTTTGATCAAATTAAATTTTTTATGTATAACTATACTCGTTATACTATGAATATTGCAACAGTATGTCGCGTTATGTCAATAAATTTAATTTTGGGTCTTATATTATGTTATATTAAAATTAGACACTTTTACCTCTTGGTTGTTATTAATAATGTTAAATTATGTGAACTATTTATGACGGTCGATATTCTTGAATTTTATTTTTGTAATTCTTGTAACAATATTCTATAATTTTGGTTTTGTTTTTCCCAAGACGACTTTTTAATGTTAAACTGACAGAGAGAATACTATTCTCTACAAAGCATCCTTGTTTTGTTGAGTTATAAGTTATTTCATGTAATGTACTCTTATGCTTGTAAATTAAAATAAATTAATAAATAAATAACAATTGCCCTAAATGAAAAAAGCCAGCACAAAAGTAATTGGTAGCCCCATATAGAAATAATTGTTGAAGTGAGCATACATGAAAAGACGTTCTTCTACAAAAGCAGCTAGTGGTGCTAAAACAGCCCATACTTTCTCGCTCGTATTTTCATGAAAAATTATGCGAAAACTTCTAAAAGTTTCGAAAAATTGTCTACGACCTTATTTCAAAATCTATCTCTAAGAAACTTATTTTGTTACAGGAAAAATCTCTATTTGTAATATTTTAGTTGTAGGAAACTCCTAAAATAAATTTGAACTTTTGCAACTTTCGAAAAATTAAATTTTTCAACGAACACGAGACCTGCAGCATTCTCTTAAACGTCTTTCACAATATCATTCAAGAAATCTTAATGAAAAATGATGGACCCATTTTTTTAAAATTTTGGATATGTCTCAATTACTTCCTGTAAAGTATCCCCAAAATTAATATTTCGGTTTGAAATTCAAGGCTCTATGACATCAGCCAGATCGGTTGAGAAATATCCGTTTGGAGAAACTCGTTTGAACGGTTTAGCCGCTAGCGTTGGACGGACCGACAGAAGGACGGACAGACGCTTTGCCGACTTTCGATTTTCCGATATCAAGGATCCACAAAACATGAATTCTGAACACAGTATGTGTTAGAGGGTTCTTTTCTAAATGTAGCATTTGAATTTATTCACTTTTTCGTTATCAGGGCTCTCTAATAAGAGTTTTCGGCCGAAAATTTGCCGTTTTTTTGGGCTGCATTACATAACTCTTATTGTATTTCGTAGCGAGAAAGAAAAACGATTTTAAAAACTGGTAGATCTCAAAGAATATAACGCAAGTTAAAAGAGGCTACAGGCATAATCTGAAATATAAGAAGACCTAACGTGTTGCCTTAAAATGAATCTGTGTAAGTGCCGATAAGGATGACTGAGGTGGCTACAGCGTGTGTCAACTCACAGCCTCGCACGAAAAAAATGGTCGCGGGTTCGAGTCCAGCCGTGTGCATGGTTGTTTGTCCCTTGATTTTCATGCATGCGTGTTGTTGCGGAAGGTCTTGCAAGTCTGCTGACCACAGACCGAAGAGCCCACTGTGTCAGAGTCTAGGTAGTTGAAAATCGGCATGCCCTGGAAGAAGCCCCTACAACATAAAAGAAGATTTAGTAGTTAAGCACTTATACATTGAGCTCTCCGAAACAGTCCCACCCCTCCTCCCAGAGAAGGAGAGAGACAGAGACTTGTGTAAATAATTCGGGTGCGGGGAAGTTTCTAAAGTTCGGGACGAGTTGCTGGACAGGTCCGTGTGGGGTCCTCGGC